TACAATATATATATATATATATAGAGCTATGTGTAGCCGCTCGACATGAAATAGTATTTTTCTATATAATTATTTTTTGCTACGGTCTCGTTCGGCGATCGTCTCCCAACAAACTGATTTGTCTATTCGCCATCTAAACAACATTTTCCCCCAGTTTTCAGAGACGTTGTCGCCGCAATAATTTTCTTGCTCAATGTGTCTCTGTCATCTGTGTTTTTTTTTCGCTTTTTTTGATTTCTCTTTATTTTATAAATACTACATAGCCAACGTATGAACAGTCTAGCTCATCTCCCGCATGTGCTCAAAGTTTATAAGTTTTTATCTTGTTTTCTATTTTCCTTTCTGTTGTTAAACATTTCGTTAGCTGCATTCGGTTTGCATTTAGTCATATAAGTTATGGATTTTGTGGTATTGTATATTGTGTATTATTCTGTTGTAAAAATAAATAAAATGAATAATTTTGATTCATATAAATGTAATCATGTTTTCATTAAATCGTACAATTTTGTGGCTCAATCTAAATACAATTTTTATCATCATTATATCATATCATTATTAACACCGACTATTTTTTTTTTAATGATTTGGAGTGTAAAAGCAAAAATCAAGTAAGTGATAATATTAAAATTATAGAAATAATAATACAGAAATATTGTCAAAAATCGTTGATTTAATTTTTAAAAAACTCCCATAATAAATGTTTTCGCCTAATTAAAAACCATTTGCTTAAAATAATTTATAGTTCAACTTTATTGGTAATCAAATAATAAATAAATATGAACCCCTAGGGTCATGTCTGACCTTGACTTCCTTGTTGTTTATATCATTCATTGCATATTTATTATTTGTATATTAATATTGTTGTATATTGTAATTTTTTTCAATTTAGAAATTAATATGAGAGCGCAATAAGTTGAAAAGTTCAGGAATTTTATTTGCTATAAATAATATGCTAGCACGCTTCTGAAGCGCCACATGCCGGCAGAGCGAGTACAAATCAAAAATTAAAAAAGAACAAAAGCAAATACAATTAACCTTTGTTTGTGTATACAAATAATATTTATTTATAAAATTATGAAAAGCAATTTCAACTGCGAATTATTCTCATTATTATTAGCGGCTCGCGACAGGCTTCCAATTTGAATGGGCGCAACATGTGGTATGAGCAATGTCAATCAAATGTATATATATTCCACTCATACTAATGTGTGTGGGTGTACGGTAATAAGTGCAAATTGAGCTAACTGTAATTGACATGCAAAACGGATTTGCCAAAGAGCTCAAGTTGAAGACGAAGCAGCAGCATACAAAGGCAAAAGACCAATAATTGCAAACACGCATTTTTTGATAAGTCGGTACTCTTCACTCCTATAAAAGCCTTGGCCTCTGGCTCTGTCGTGACGTTGCCTCTGCCTGTGCTGCTGTCTGTACCTCTGCCGTGGCCTCTGACTCTGGCTATGGCTGCGCCTCTGTTTTGCCTTCGTCTCTTCCTCTTCCTCTCTTCTTGCCTATGCCTTTGCTGGCAGCAACCACCATCATCACCAACGCATTGACTTGGACTCGACCTTGCCCGCTGCTGATGTCGGCGCGTTACGTCGACGCTGACTGCGTCTTTAAATCGATGCTCGGCCAAACGTTTTACAGCTGTTTAGCAGCCGAGGCACACGACGCGTCGTGACGCGCTACTGCGTTCGGCTTGTGCCAGCTGTTCGTAAACAAACAAAATGCCGGCTGTTGTTAGTGTTGTTATTGTTGTTGGCAGCGTGAAAGCTTTTTGAAAGCTTGCTAGAAATGTTTTTCTCGCATGCGAGAATCGTAGCTATTCACGCGCGGATATTCTTAAAGCGAAAAACCAATTTTTCGGCTGCATTTGCGCAGCGCGCGTTGCAGGAAACGCAAGTGAAACGCGTGTGGAAAACTTAACGATTTTCACGGCACCCTCGAACACCGCACGTGCCCCTACCGCTGAGTAAATAGGAAAAGAGGAAAAAACTTGTTAAATGTGTGCGCTTTAGTATAATATTAAAGTAGTTAATATATAGTGTGCTCTATGTGTATTTTTACGCATATATTTGTGTGTATATATATGTGGTAATTAAAATTGTGCCTTTAATCGTGTCCCGTGCGCATAATTTCATTTGCGTAATGCTCATAGACAATAAAAATTCAAAGCACAATTCAATTTAATATACGAGGTGCGTTTCTATGGAGTAAAATGCATAAGTGTGAATGAAACGGAAAATGGAAACGAAATGCCTTGGGAAATAATAATTTAAATAATCCATATAAAATAAATAAAAATGCCTTCAAGAAAGATAATAAGTATTATTAAAATTAAGTAATAATAAAAATTAATTAAAAAATATATATGTAATAAGAGTAATACTAATACTAAAAGTATAAAGATATTCGCAAGTTTGTAAAGCGTTTACTAAAAAGAAATTAAATTACAGTTAAAAAAAAAAAAAATCACCAAAACTTATGAAAAACTATATAACAAAAACTAAAATTTAAAAAATTAATCATCACTATGGAAAGTGAACTGTTTTTAAAACTTTATAGAATATATTAATCACTACAAGAGTTATTAAATATATAGAGCAGTAAGTAAATTAAAAATAAAAGTGTTTTATCAACAATAAAATATTTTAAGTTTCACTTGAAAAGCTTTAAAAACAAATTTAAACCAGGAAAAAAAAATTTATAAAAAATATATATATACAAATTTATTTTAAAAATTAATCCAATAATACACAATAAACGAGAAAGAAACTTTGACGCTTTAATGGTGGAAAAACCTTTCAGTGTCCAACAGCTGCATAAATGTAAAAGTAAACCAACTACAAAGATTATTTCCTGTCGCAGCGAGATTAAAAAATAAAAACTTAATAAAACATAGCAAAGCTGGCCGAGAATAAGAAGACGAAGACGAAGAGCTGCTGCTGCTTAGGGCGATGTCGAGACGAATTGCTTTGTGCTATATACGAAAAATCGATAGTTGAAGCCGCAGTCGCCGTCACCGTCACAGTCGCCGTCGACGTCGCAGTCGATATCAACGTCAACGGTCAGAGTCAAACGAGACGCAAAACGCTTATTAAATGTCGGCTAAAAATAGCCTAAGCAACAACAACAACAACAAAAACTAGGACTATTAGACAAAGCTACTAGGAAAACGTGACAAACATGGTCGATGCTAAGCCACCGCCCACTCGCACGCCCACACCGGGCACCCCGCCGGCGGCATTCGCCGGTGAAAGATCGAAAATTAAATTATTTATGGAACGAACGCCGAGCATCGGAGCGCTCAAGTCGAAATTTTTGACAGTGCTGGGCAACAGCAACGAGCTGCTCAATGGCATATCGAATAAGGTAAGGCCTTGATAATGAAAGCGCTCTCTGTCAGGTCGTCTGTGTGGGTGGGTGGGAACAGAATATACAGAATAGCAATAGCCATAGCAATAACAATAACAACAGACATTTTGATAGTTTTTTGTTTTTGCTGCTGCATTCGTTTCGTTTGACCTTCACTTGGCCCGGATATTATTGTGCTGCTGTTGCAGCACCAGCTGCAGCTTGGGGGTTGGCCTCAGCTGTTTGCATTGTACTTGACTCTATGCGAACAGCGCTGCGCAGCATTGGCTGCGGCTCTGTCGCTTTGAAAATAATTAAATTGCGTGCTCGACGCTTCAAGCATAAACGAGTTAAGAGCAAGTGGCACAGCTGTTGCTGTTGCTGTCTCCTTTTCCTTGCTGAGCTGTTAATTACGGATTATGTCGCTCGCTCAATTGTCCTCTATTTCTATCTCTTTCACACCACACATGCATGACGGCTGGTGCTGCTGCAGCAGCAAGCGCCAAAAGCAATCAATTTAGTAGACTTCCTCCTTGAGACTTGCCAACGGCATACGCTTATCCAAGGCCAAAGGGCTTACTGCATAAATTGTACCTTTGTTTCAAATGCTGTCTAATAGTGATTGATCGCTTTTATATTTGACTCTTTTGTTAGTGCAATTTTAGCGCACTTCAGTAAATTACTTGTATTGTTTACAGCCAATGGGCACCTAACAAGGGGGCAACACAGGGCTGGGCAGTAGCTGAACGAAATAATAATGAAAAAAAAAAAATTTATTTTTAATTTCTTCATTTTCTGTATTAAGCAATTGCCATTTTTAAATATAATTTGTATTATTATTTTATATACATATTTTTTTTTTTTTCAAATATTAGTTTTATTCATGATCAATTGGCAAAGAAAATGTTCTAATAGGGTGGCAACATCGTTTACTAACTGCCGCCATTTATTCCATTTACAGTTAACTTTGAGCAGCAGTAGCAGCGATTCGGATTATTGCGACGACGATGAAGAAGATTTGCCCAAATGTAAGTTTTGTAAAAGTGAATATTAACAAAAATACAAAATTATTAACAAGATTTCTAATTAATTCAACAGTTGATGAGACAATTGACTATACGAAGATCGATTTTGAGGGACGTCGCGTGAAAGCGCGCCGTGCACATGAGGAAATCATCTCGAGCCGCTACAGACAGCCGAATTTGGCGCCACGTAAGTCGGACTAACTGTAATAATACTGCTTAAGAGACAAAGAATATATATAGAAATAATTTGTAGGTCCTCGGTTGGAATACTCTCGCTCTAGACATGGCAACCACAAGCAGCGCTCCAGTTCGCCCTCTTCGTCGAGCAGTGGCAGCAGCAGCGATGACAGCAGCTCCATTTCGTTGCCGGAGCAAACGGCTGCGCGTTCCCATGAGGTGAGCAGCACGACCCACTCGAATTCCCTTGAGTTTGAGTCGCGTCATTCGGGTGGCTATGAACGGCATCGACCCATTGCGGGCGCTCGTCGCAGCGAGCTGGATATGCAGAAGGATATGCAGCGTATTAGCGAGCTGTTGGAGGCTACGGCCACAGCTACGCCTCCCCAAATCGATGTTCAACCGCCCACAGAAGGCGGCACCGGTGCTGGCCTAATAGCACGCCAGCCCTGGGGCGAGGTCAGCTCCATTCGGTTGCCTGCACGCAGTCGCACCTCGAACAGCAGCACGTTGACCAGTCTGCGAGATGAGCCCGATCAGCTGCAGGCCAGCCCGAGCATGGAGTCCAGCGACTGGCGCAACTTCATACGCTCCGAGTCGCAGAACTCTGTGCCATCGTGGGCCTCATCGATAAGTTTGGATTGTCGTGCTGGAGAGGAGCCCGTCAAGGAGTTCATGAAGCACTTCACTCATCTGCTCTTTAATAACTTGGCCGCTGTGAATCTGGAGCTGAAGTCAGAGTTTGGTGTGCTGCTACGCTTGGAGATGGGTCGGCTGTGGTTCACTCGGTTTCTCAGCGAGCAGCGCAACAAATCGAAGCGAATGGAAACGTTGACATTCAATGCAGTCGCTCAATACTTTGCATTGGCTCTGTTCGAGTGCGGCGAATGCGAGGATTATGCGCCAGCAGCCGTGCTTATGAATCTCTGTTTCTTGTTCTATCACGAAGGTAGATTTGCAACTCTGATATAATACTACTTTTATGTTAATTCTCTTTTGTTTTCTAGTTGAAGTTCCTGGCTGTGAACCTTATCGCGAGTATTTGTTCATATCGCTGCGTCAGCAACCGCTCTGGCAGCAGCCTCGCTTCTGGAACACCATCTTCCAAGATTCCATGCAGGCCGAACGCGAGCATCGGCTCAGAGCGCAGTTGCGCCGGCAGCAACGTAAGCAGGCAAAGCAACAACAGCGTCAGGCAGAGGCCGATGCTACAGTGACTGTGGAGTCTGTAGCAGCAGCTGCTGAGGCTACGCCTGCTCGCAAGCATGGTGCTGATTCCCCCTCCAGCTCCTCCCATCAGATAGCGCCGCCAGCGGCAGCAACTAATCGCAAGTCCAGCAAATGCAGCTTGGGCCAGTCACAGTCCGTCAAGGAGCAGGAGGATATTGCATTTCGGCAATTGAGGTGCGTTGTGAAAACTTAATGGAAGATAAAAAAATAGGAGAATAAAGGCCCTCAAACTAACAGTAGAGGAACAGAAAGAAATACTTAAATCCGTGTGTTACCTTTGTGAAAAACCTTCACATTCCTATTATTGTCTTTTAATATTTCTAAAAAGACAGTTTATTGAATTCTCCGATTGTCTTTTCAGTGCCTTTACGTGTAACATGCACATCCTGGGCACCACTCAGGATGTGTGCCTGGACTTTCTGAAGAAACATGCTGTGGCGCTCAACCTACCAAAGGGTGAGTGGACTATATATAAACATTTGATTACATACATATGTCCTTGATTACTATCCCAACTAACAAGCCTAACTAATACACCTATAAACCATATTACAGACAAAGCCAAGCTAATCAGGGATAATGTTTACCGAATGTATCATGAGACGGAGCTGTGGGGTGCTCAACATACTTAACGAGTGTTTCGCCTAACAAATCCCAACTTATTTAATACCTTACCAGCACTTATTTTTCGACTATAAACTATACTATAACAAGAGAAAAACGTTTCAAATTTCGTCTCAGCTAAATTACAATTTTTGACTTAAACTAACACTAATCTTGATGTAGTTACAAATTTTTACTCGCATTGTTGAACTATTGGAAATTGAATGAATATCAAATATAATAATATACATGAATATAAAAAATTATATAAATAGCAAATATGAAATGAATACAATATTTATATCCGCAAATTGTGATAATAATATTTTGTGATTACTTTATATTATATAAAAAAGAAAAGGAAAGTTTTGCAAATGACATAAAAAATAACTAAAATAATCCAAAATTCACAAGAGACAACCAACAACAAATAATGAACTAAAGAAATATTCTGTAATATCTGTAATATAGGAACAATAATTCCCATTTAATAAAACCTACTAATAAAGTTAATAATTTAAATAACATTTTTACTAATGGATCGTGTAGGTCCCAGGGTTAATCATAAGAGATGAGGCTTAAATATATTATAATTTTTTATTTATTTTTTTTTAAATTTTATATATTAATTTTGATTAATGGAAATGTTGAGCCACGTTGGCTCTGATCTAAACACTAGACTGTATACTGCCACAATCTTAAATCACGACTCTAAGTAACGCAATACTTTTTTATAAAGTTAGATCGGCAAGCTCCACCTTACTAACCATTCCCAGTAGTTCTATCATTAAATTTTCACAGTTATTTACTTTTCAAAAACTCGCATGTTTAATAATATATATTCGTCGTAGTAGCCTATCCATTACTCTATAAGAGCTTAAGCATTATCTATATATATATTATATATAGCCATATATTAATTATTATTGCACGTCAGGAACAGCTTTGACTGGTTGTTTCCTCCATGGCCTGAAATATTTTAAATCTGAGGAATTGTTTCATAGACAACGATGTACGTGAACTTACCGCTATATTCTTAAATATCTTATTCATTACTTTCATCATATCTTATAGCACAATTTCTACAACAATTATTATTTATTTATTATTTAAATGACATTTTGTGTAAAGGAAAAAATCCTCTTGTATTTATCTATTGGTGGAAAATGATCTACGACTAAACTTTTGTCCGTCGTCTGCAACATTTTTTTGGGAATGCTGACAATTCGTGTATTGCGAATCGTCTTATATAGGGTTAATCATAAGCGGAACGAAGATTTGATTTGAAATAGGTACAAGTTTACGATTATTTCTGGTAATATTAGCAATGCTTCATTATGAATAGTTGTATAACATGGTCTATAAAGATGTCCGGAGAGACACAGGGGAAGATCTTGAGAAATGGACTAGTAAAGCGGAACAAAGACACCTGCTATAGCGCTAAGCTTATGAAGAATTTGTAGTTTTAGTCATGGGATATATGGATTATATTCATAAATATCCTTTGAACCACAAAACAATGCTCATAAATAAATAGAAAAAATCATCCATTTTGATATATGGGTTTAGTTGATTTTTGGTCACTTTTATCCAAAACTTATGAAATAAAATAAAATTTCTAGTTTAACATTTTTAAAAGATAATTATTAATAATATAGATTTATGAGCCAGCAATTAACTTGTAGTTAACATGAGTCGTTTAATAAAAATGGCTGCTTAAATCAAATTGAGCTTATGCTCTCTAATAATAATATAACATAAATTTTGCACATTTGTATGTTTAGCATATAAAATGCATTTTATTTTTGCAAAATAAAATAAACGAAACTATTGCATGAGCCCATAATGAAGTCGTGGTATATGCATACATATATATATATCGTATATATATACAACAAAATGAATTTATAGCACAAAATATGTTCGATCTCGCTGGCTATAAAAGCTACATGGTAAATGTTTAGGTTTTATATTAATTTTGCCAAGTCTGCGCTCTGGTTACTCCCATTTTCTAAGCTGGCGATGAGGTTTTTCGTGTGCTCCTGGCAATAATTCTCTAGTTCGCTTTAAATAGTTGTCGCTCCATTGTGTGGAGCAAGAGATGGTTCGGTCTATGGCGCTCTTACGCCTCGCCTGTGGGCATTCGTGTTTGTTTGCTCAGATCGTATTTGTACATGAAGACGCGTCCATTCGCGCCCGCAGCAAAAGTTTTGTCGGTTTGCCAACTATGAAAATATATGTATATATACATATATTATA